AATATCAACAATAAATATGGTTTTGAAAAATCTAACAAAATGAATTTAAAGTTTGTGGTTAATAATAGACTCTTTTGAAAGATGCTGTATTGTACAAATAATTTATATTATGGCACAAAACCTCTAACCTAACATATATTGTTACTACAGTATTACTATTATTATTATTCCCTTCATTTTTGATATAGCTGAACCACACTTTGTTTATAAAACGCCCTCATAAATAAACAATAATGATGATCTTTTCTGGGTCATCATTAATTTTTTTTTTTTTATAAATATTCTTCTTTTATGTACACATAAGGTCACACTGAGAGTACAAAAGGTAACAGAACCAGGAATCAAAAGAGGAAACAAAGTAAAACTCTTGGCCGTTTGGAACTACGTCACCGAACCGTTCGAGGCGCGAGAAACATTTTCGAAGAGGTAAAAAAAATTAAAAAAAAAACAAACAAAAAAACATTTTCGAAGAGGCGGTTAGCTTTATCGCGGTGAACAGAGCAACCGAAGTTGTTTTCCAAAATGAATAAGTAGCATTCTTGGCTAATTTGTCTGTGAACGTCACACAACTGGTTGGGTTTAACTGTCGGCGGTATTTACAAACGTTTTAAATGGCTAGCTTAGAAACCGACCCATACTTCCTCCCTCCTGAAGTCTTGATCAAATTACCAGCTTTGTCTGAATTCAAACATGATTTGTATCATTATGTCATAAACGGGGCAGACTTTAAAAACGTACAAAAGACGAGATGCTAACCAGTGTTTTCCGTACATGCTAGGCTACATGACGGTGCGAAACTGTCTCCATGGTTACTGTTAGCCGCGTACCTTTTCCATAGTGCGATATTTGATATCTTTGCAATCATACTTATAAACGTTAATCTTCTTACCTTGTAGAAAATGTTCACTGCAGATCCGCGGTGACGCCGAGGGCTGGCAGCCATGATGACTAACGGCTGCTGTCCGTCACCGCCATATTTTCCCCTCATTCCAAGTTATAAAAAGACAAGTTTGGTTTGCAACCTTGTCTTTTTCAGCACCCGACCGCGCATCAGCCTGTGGCCGTTTTTAAAGTGAAATTAATACAAGCGATATTAGGGTACAGCTGTTTTCTCAGGCTAGCTTCAAATGAGTTCAGGTTGTCCGTCATGTCGGAGTTCTGAAGAGCGTGACGTCACGCGCGAAGGATCAATAGTCATGATGACATACTGATGCATTGGTGTATGAAAAAAATGCAATTAAATAATAAATTATTAAAGGATTGGGCTGTGAACCAGTTTGTAAAATGCAAAAGAAAAAATATTCAAATCATCAAAATCCACTATCTGACGGTCATTTCATTTATTTAACTGCAAAATCCAAGTAATTACAACATATTGACTAACATATTTGACAGATGCATTTCTCCAAGCTGAGTCCCACATGGCCACAGCGCCCCCTACTGGAGAACAATGGCATTACTTCTTGTTTAAAAAATCGACTCAGAAATCAGTGAACTTCTGCTTCTATCATCTTATTGCATACATATACAGCTATCGAAACATTAAAAACATCACCTCAATTATTTACATTAGGTAAATAATTGAGCTCTCAGCTCAGTGTTTTTGCTGTGGACCAGAACCTCATTGACGGCCTTCTGCAGTTTCTTTACGGACTGCATGACGAGGCGGAAGCTTTCCTGGAAGTTTCCGTTCCCTTCCTTCGCCCAGGCTGCCTGCGTCTCTCTGACCCAGGCCAGGATGTCGTCCAACTGCTGCTGCACCTCCCTCTGCTCCTCCAGCTCGGCCAGCAGAGCTTGTCTGGCACAAACCTCTGCCTCGTAGGCTCTGTGGAGGTCTTCCATCGACGACTCGAGCTTCAGCACTTCCTGGGTGGAACAGCACCAACAGAGAAGTTAGATTTAACATGCAGAAACGATTGAAAAACAACTCCAGATGTTGTCATTATTTGTTACTGAACAAGGTGCTAGATAAGACTAGAGCTGGGCAATAAGTCGATTTTATCGTTGAAAATACTTTCAACATTTAAAAATAGTTGAAAGAAAGTATTTTGTTTTTTGCATGAAACTTTTTCTATTTGTCTTAATAGGTGCACTCTAAATAGAAATTGAACATTTATTCATTTTACACATTTGCACCACCCCCTGCGTTTACTTTTTACATAGATACTGTTCAGGACAATTTGGCCCGGCAGTTAAGTGCAAAAAAATATTTTAAAAAATGTCCAATTCTATGCGTTTCCTTGCAGCTATGAACCATATTTTACCACACAAACACGACACACACACATGCACATGTGGACACACACAAGCCCATTTCTCACAATTCTCTTTACTGCGAGAAAGCAGATGTTCATGCAACTTTTAACGGGAACCTTTCCTGTTCCCGTGGACAAACTCCACCCACACTGAGTGGACACAGCAGAAATTGAGCAAAACATAAATACTCTCTGCATGAGTCATTTGTCTTGATTTTAATCAGCGGGTCAAGTTGACCCTGAACAGTTTATGTGTCTCAAGTTCAAATATAAAGATCACCCACTGAAAAAAAAACTAATGTAATATGATTTTTTTTTCTTACCAAAGATTGATTTCAAGAAAATTATTTATTTATTTATTTTTTTGTGAATAGGTTTTTTCCAGTGGACAAAAACAATTTTAATTCCATCTTTCATGTCCAAATGAGTAAATGAGAAATTTCTGAGAAATAAAAATCCGTCATATTTTTTTATTTCTGACACTATTGCATGATTAAAAACTTCCCGGGTCAAATCCCCAGAAACGACCATAACAGGAGGGTTAACCCTTCCCTCCCCTCACCTGCACAGCCTCGGGGTATTTCTCATGGGGCTGGTCCTCGGGCAGCAGGACGTTCGGCGGTATGGTGAAACACCGGCTCATTAGCAGCGCCTCCATCCGCTCCGACAGCTGCTTGAAGCGCTTCTCCAGGAACTGTTGCAGCTGGTAGGTGCAGTCTCTGGCCCGGGCCCGGAGCAGCTCCTCGGGCACGTCGGCACCGCTCTTCTTCAGCTCCCTGACACACACCTTCTCCACCAAGGCTAGGATGTCGCACAGGCTCTCGTGGAAGGAGCTGTAGATCCGAACCATGCAGGTCTGAGGGGTGAAGCTGAAAAACTGCGTTTCGTACAGTTTTAGTCCCGAAGAAGAGAAGCGGTCACTTTCTTCCTCGTCTGCCCCGACAGTTTTCATTTCTGACTCCGTTTCCCGCGCCATATTGAACTGGCGGCGACGCTTCTTCTTCTGCTGCTGCTGCTGCTTTTTCTTCTTCTTCTTTTTATGCTTTCACGGAAGTTTGCATCCATTATTGTCGCACTACCGCCATCTGTTGAAACCCCGAATCCTCCGATGACACATTACTTTTTAAAAAACGAAAAATCTCCAATTTTCCCTCATTACTATTTAACTGACCAACCACATCCCCAAATTTCAGTTCCCCATTGAAACGTATTTCCTTTTCGGTGATCTTCTTTGATTCTCATATTTCCTACAGCTAATTAAATTCCATCGTTTCTACAGTATGACACCAACTATATAAACCAGTGGGATGTTTCCCCATCTTAAAAAGAGTTCCATTCAAAAAAACAGTTCTGATTCTATTTACAATTATCTCCTCCCACCTCTAATTCTTAAAACATCAACTGTATTTTGTATCCGATTTCAACGCCTTCCATTCATTATCCCTCCTAATTTTTCACAACTTATTACTTTCTTTCCAAACTATATTTTTCCTTCGGATTTAGAAAAACATTACTGGCATGTCAACATCTTTTTTAACAGCCTTGTCAGCCAACCTATCTGCTCCTTTATTACCCACAATACCTACATGAGCAGCAGATAATGAATCACTACAAACTATTATTTTACTTATTTTAGTATTCTCCACCCGTTCTAAATCTAGTGATATAGTACATAAATATACTGCATATGGACTCAGATCATTAGGTGTTATTCTTGAAATATTAATCTTTAATTCAGGAACCACTTCAGTTTTTTGATCTTTCAAACTATCAGTATCAGTTTTTAAATAATCATTATATTTATTCTGTATTCAATTATAAAATTCTTGGCCAATATTTTAATATTTCTTTTCTTAATATTTGATAATGATCTGCCATTAATTTATTTCCATATCAATGAAGGTCTCAAAAGCCCTAATGTTGACTAAAGTCTTTGTTATATACATTCAATGTTTTTGCTTTATCATTTCCAACTCACCCAAAAACTATTGATTTGTTCATGTCCTCTTTCCCAACACTTTTCTAATACTTTCTTAACTGGATGATCTTTATTAAATTTATCCAACAATTAACCATGATCTGCTTTTCTCTGATTCATAATGGCATTTCTCCTAATTCTACTTATAAAGTACTGGAGGTGACTCAACAGAAATTTCATTCAAGTAAGAGTAATACTTCTTAATACAGTTACTCAAATAAAAATGTAAAAGAAGTACTGAATTGTGAAAATACTTCTAAAAGTAACCAGTTACTACCCAACTCTGCCAGTCTATGGTTTGACTTGTTGGAAAAAGTGATCTTAAATTCAACAATTTTCTAGAAAAACAAGGAAATTTCAGAGTTTGAAAAATCAACATTTTAAACTCAAAAATGCCCAGGTTATTTCGAGAAAGTTTTCTAGATTAAGTTCAAAATACCCGAGTGTTTTCTAGCACATTTTTGACTTTGTACTCAAAAATGTCTTTTTTTTCTTTAAGTATTTCTGAGACAAATCTTAAAATTTCAGAGATTTTTTTCTAGTACATTTTCGACTTTTGGAGCTCAGGAATTTCCAATTTATTTTCTAGAAAATTTCTCAGTTATTTTGGTCTGAAATTTACTCCTTTATCTACATACAATGGTTCTAATAATCCATGAATATTTTCCAGGGGTACGTCAGTACATGGCGTACTTCATAGTCAGTCCGGTAGGTGGCGGTAATGCGCCTTACAAATGGTTTACTAACCAGCTGGAGGTGGACAGAAGAGGAAGTAAAAGTAGCAGTAGCAGAAGGAGAGGGAGGGGAAGACAGCGGCTTTTATCGCTACACGTGTAATATTTTCTATGTGAATCTACCCTCTTCACCTTTAATAAGCTAAACCCGCTCGGACAGAAAAGGTAGGTTTGCCGCGGCTCAGTGTGCCGCCTCTGGGAGGCTGCTGACGGCAGCCCCTGGAAGTTGAGCCGGTTTGGCTGCTGTTAGCACCGAGCTGGTGCCTTTTTACTTTTTGTTGTGCTGTTGCTAACTGCAGCTAGCTGATTAGCGGCGGTAACCTGCGAAGCTGGTCAAATGAGCCCAAACTTCCCCCACTGATACTCCCGTGTCTTCATAAAAGGAGTTAACGTGTGCTGTCGTCCTCTCTCCCGGTGGGAAGCCACTGTAGACGAAGACCATGGGGGCATATCTGTCGCAGCCGAACACGACCAAGACCTCCTCCGACGGCGGCAACACCAGCATGAGCTACGGCTTCTCTGCCATGCAGGGCTGGCGGGTCTCCATGGAGGTGAGGCAGAAAGTCATTCACCGCTCAACCATCGCGGTAGCTCGTTCACTGAACGATGAGAACGCTGCCTCCACTGATTAAAAGACCGGCGCATCAAAAACATGTGAAAAGCCTGTTGATTATGTCGAGAGGAGGTGTTTTAAAATAAGCAGCATTTATGCAGACATTTCACTAAACCCTCTGACTTGGTGGGACATCCCATCCTCTTGATATCCTCTGTTTACCGGCATTCCTGGATATCAGCGATTCCTGTAACTGGGATCCATCTATCAGACATGAAACACTAATTATCAGATTATTTTCACATGCCAACTTACATTTAAAAGAATATTGTTGGCAGATTAAAGCAAAACATCTGCATATCATTTAATTACTTCAAACAAGCTGTTTGAATCTTGAATTTTGCATTTGAAAACATAAATCTCAAAATTGATTAATTTATAGCCAAAGAGATGCATGTAACATTTTTTGTATTCATTCTTAAAAGTATTTTATTGTCAAATATTAATAAATCACAGACACTTAACATATAATAAAATCACCAACCTGTCCAAAGAGTTGAAAATATCTCACAGGGTTCACCCCAGTGTATTATAAGCCTAGTGGGCCACCAGACTTTACTTTCCCCCGCCAGGCTTAGTATTACTTAAGTCTTTTTGAAATGTTAGCATTTTTTAAGACTTTATAGTTGGTGTTCAGGTATTAAGCTTCCTATCTTTCAATAACACATAATTACCAAGTAATATTTTGAAATTTCCTTAACTCAAAAAAATGTTTTTTCTGAGTTGAATGAATGACTGCACAAGCACCAACCACCAGGCTTCACAAGTTTTTTTTCTGAGGGAAACCTTGGTTACTCAATCATGGGGCATTTTTCATTTCTTCCATCACTTGCTATGCATTACAGTGAGCATAAATTTAGGTAGAAATGCCAGGTCTTTCATCACATCACCATCTTTAGGTGTGCAATGGAAGAGGAAATTGATCCATACTTGATCACGGACCCCCATCTAGCGTAACATTGTTAGGCTGAATGAGGTCCTTTGTTTGGGTTGTCCTTCACAAAGAATGTTATAACATTTCCCCTTATTGAGCACGTTTTTCTCTTTGCTGTTCTTGTGGTATGCAGAGAAAATGTAAGGAAAACGTTACAATAGAAGAGAACGTACATTTAATGAATTGCACGGTGCAAATGCTGGCAAAACAAAGATATGTTGTGCAACTGGGTGAGCTGCACTCTCGCTGCAGTTATCCTGCACATCTGTGTGCAGAGGGAAATTATTGTTGAATCTCAATTCAAAATTAATTCAGACGCATGTTTTTTAGACATTTTTACAGTTTGATAAGATCATATTGGTTGTAAAAAAAATGTAATCATCATGCAATGTTTGTATTCTTTTGGTCAGAATCTCATTGCAAATGTTGGGAAGGAGAGGCTCAAGGAGATTGAGTCTTAAACTATTATCTTTGTTTTATAGATATTATTTATAAAATGTATTTGTCACTTCTAAACATAAAATTGGCCACTTTTTCCCACCAGCCTTTTGTTAATGTTTTGATTCATTTAATTTTTTCAGGACGCTCACAACTGCATCCCAGATTTCGATGAAGAGACAGCCATGTTTGCTGTGTATGATGGCCATGGAGGTAATTAAATTAAAGTATAGCTTTTTAAGTGAAATCGAAGTTCCTCTAATAGAGTTTGAAGTCTGATTTAAAAATTTTCCAGGTGTAGATTATTTATATTTCCATTTGTTTTCTCCGTGTAGTTCAATATGTTCTTCTAATGACACAATCCTTACAGATTACATTTCAGTTTCCTGCATTTTGAATGCTGCTACATTTTCTATTTAATTTTATGAAGTTGCTGCTTTATTCATGTTGGTTAGTTGTGTGTTTAATTTAATTTGTCAATTCTGTTTGGATAACTCCTCCAGGCATGTTTCCACCTCAAATGTGCCGCACAACAAACCATCTTTATACCACAGCATTAATAGTTTAATAAAATCTTGTCTGTTGAAACCACAGGTGCTGCATAAAGATGAATCTTTGTCACATGAGTAAAACCTGAAGCATCTGCAGCACCTGTGGTGCACCTGTGGTGCTGCAGATGCTTCAGTGTTATGTGCTTCTTTATTCAGCTAGTTTTCACTTCCCAGGCCACTGTAAAAACATTTGGTGTGAATTTTTACATAATGAATGTTTTACTATTTGAAACTAAGAAATCTGAAGAAGTGTTGTTCTAAAGTGGAATCGGGGAAACCTGTGCAAATTTTGTTGCCTGATAAGCAAACTTTGTTCTAGTCAATTTACTTTATGATGGCTCAGCTGTTTTCCTGTCGTTTCCATGGTGATCTGCTTTGTTTGCTTTACATGCCGCTCTACTGTCCTGAGCGTTTATATCGCCTGCTGCTGTCATTTAGGTGAAGAGGTGGCTCTGTATTGTTCAAAGTATCTTCCTGACATCATCAAGGAGCAGAGGACTTACAAAGACGGGAAGCTGCAGAAGGTGAGGAGCTGATGAATTGGAAACTAATTCAAAAGTTGTTTCATCTCAAATGAGATCTCCTATCACTTCGTCACACACAGAATGTGTTTGGAGCATTAAAAACTCGGCTTTTTAATCCAGGGTTTGTACAGATTCTTGAAATACTTGAAAATGCTTAAAGATTAGTTGTTTTGTTTCAAATGTTTGGAAAATATTTATTTAGGCTGTTATTGTTTTGCAACAAAGTGCAATCTAACACTTTATTAAATCTTAAAGTTGGAAAACATTAGGTATTTTTATAAATCTAATAAAGACACATTTTTTTCTCATTGTCTGAAGTTAAATCAGATTAAACTTTTCTTATTTAGAGAATTGCCAAAATGACTTCTATTTGCTAAATACCAAATAACTTAGCAAGAACATTTTTAGAGTTTTTTTTTTTACGTTCTTTGTTTATTTTTAAGCATTTAATTTGAACATGAAAGTTGTTTACCTCTACATGATTATTTTGGAATATATTATTGTAATTAATATTTGAGTCAATAATTTACTGACATGTGTAACTGTTGGTTAATACATTAAACAACGTTATTGAAATAGTGAAATGATAAATCTCTTCCAACGCCCTCCCAGTGTTGCCAATGAAGAGATGCAAAAACAACCAATCAGAGCCAGCGGGGAGGGTCTTGGCGCTGTCAATCAACATCTTGAACGCGCTGCTAAATGTGCATACGCCGGCCAAACAGCTTGCCGTTACAGAAAAACAGCTGTTCTAACTAACCTTAGCATTCACAACAAGCTATGATCAATGCAGTGTAGGAGAGGGGCCGTGATTGACAGCAATAAGACCCACCTCCTGCCTCTGATTGGTTGTTTCTAGATGGCACTGGTAGAAGAGGAGTTAAAATTAAAATTTAAAAAAATCCAGCAGGTCATCTCTCGTATGCTAACAAGTTTAAACAAATGTAAAAAGAATAAATAAATAATTATAACAGACACATACTGCGGCTTTAAGGACATTTTCCAAAGCAGACATTATTCATGCTTGCAGGCACTGGAGGATGCATTTCTAGCCATTGATGGCAGAATAACCACAGAGGAGGTCATCAAGGAGCTGGTGCAGATCTCCGGCCGCCCCGCCGAGGAGCCGCAGTCTGAGAAGGTGGCAGAGGAGGACGACTGTAAGCTCATAAAACCTCAGATGACTGGAAACGTGAAACAACATCAGCATAGTTTGACTCTGATCCTGTTTCTCTTCATGTCAGTGGACAACGAGGAGGCAGCGTTGCTCCATGAGGAGGCCACCATGACCATAGAGGAGCTGCTGGTCCGCTACGGCCAGAACCTCAACGCCGTCAAACATGCAGCGGCAGCCGCCAGGTACTCCAGAAACCACATTCACAGGTTTTACTGCAGCAGAAAGGAAGGAGTTCTTGGAAGTTCAGCTTCTCCTCCATTTTCCTCAGCGGTGCAGCTAAGAAGGCCTCCGCCCAGAACGCAGAGGTCTCGAAGGATAAAGGAGAAGATCCTGAGAAGAAAGGGGTGAACGGAGAGGTGGACGAGGAGGAGGGTGATGGGAAAGTGAAGGAAGGAGCGGTGTGTGGGTCCAAACTGAGAGCCTGTCGGAGAACAGGAGGCAGTGAGGGGAGCAGTTCAGGTAAAATTACCTTCCTCCATTCATTCAGGGTTCATATGGTGCTTGAACCCTTGAAGATACTTGAATCTTAATCAGGTGTTTGTTTATAAAGTGATTAATTTCTCTATGAAGTCCTTCAAATGCTTGATATTCAAACTGCACAGTTTTAATAATAAACTGGAATCTGTTGACTTTAGTTGATGATGTACTTAAAAAGGGACAAATCAATTCAAACATTGTCACCAATTGATTGATTAGAGAAAATGTTAATTCAAATGTTAATACATTTTAACATTTGAAAGTTGCAAAAGTTGTTTTGTATTTTTTACCTCCAAAGTGTGGTGCTGAAAAAAAATACCCAAGTGTTTGAATTTTACTGTGAAAATGTTCAAAACCTGTCCAGAGGTCTTCATAAAGTAGAGATTTATTTCTTCTTCTTCTGCACTTTGTTGCAGCTGAGAGCGGAGAGAAGGGAAGCTCCAACGGAGAGGAGAAAGCTGTGAAAGCAGAAGGAGATGCCGGGCCTTCCTGCTCCTCTGCGTCCTCAAAAGCTAGCGGAGACTCAAAATCCAGATTCTTTGACGACAGTGAAGAGTCTGAGGAGGGAGAGGAGGAGGAGGAGGGGAGTGACGAAGAGGTGAGAAGAGCGGACCAGAATAAACTGCGAAAGTTCACACTGAATCACTTTGTTGAGCTTTGCTTCAACGTTTTCTGTTTCCTCTCAGGATGGGAGCGACGAGGAAGAAGCAGACACCAGTGAGCTGGAGGAAGAGGACACAGAGGAGGGAGAGGAAGACTCTGAGGATGAAGAGGAGGAGATGTGTCTACCAGGAATGGATGGAAAAGAAGAGGTCTGTAGAAACACGAGATATTCTTCTCTTAAATTTGAATATTTAGGTGGATTCATTACAGATTCACAAATACAGATTGGATTCATCCTCTTCTTTGTTTAAATTCAAGAGGCTAAACTACAAGACCCATAATGCAAAGCAACAGAAAGCCACTTTGGAGGGATTTATACTCATTTGATCCAAACTGTTGTCTCATTAGCACTGAAGGAATACTTCCAGATTAAAACACTACTTGTTATAAGACTACATGTTTCCTTAAGTCTCTTGATGAATAATAATCATCATAAGAATGATCACAATAAGCAATAAATCAATTAACTGCACAATAAGTTGAAGTAAGCTCAATCATTTTAACTTGGACAACAGTCTTTAAAGAGACACTCTCCTTTATTATTGTTGAAAAACCGGCATTTTGAGAAACGGTGACATTTGACACAGAGCACTTGGTTTGCACTACCTGCCTCTTTTGCCTGTTTTCCTTCTCTAAGCTAAATTTTTATTTACTTTTTTAAATGCTATTTTGGTTGCCAAGGCTTCATTATCCATATTAATTATTATTGTTTTGGATATTTAAATTTTATTCCAGTTTCAGTGTTATATATTCTTTTTTTGTTTTATCTATGAGTTTGAATACTTGGAAATTACCATGAAAAATCTACATTTTTATTATGAAAAGACTTTAGCTCGATAAACGTTAAATGAAATCGTCCCTATTTGGATAAGAAAAGGCTGTTGAGAATGTTCTCCCAATAAATACCCAAAATGCCATTGAAAATCTTTAAATCTCAGTTGTAATTTAAACAAACCACTTATCTGTTTCAGCTAAACCCGAATTGCATGTTCTTCATAGTTTTACTTTCTTAAAAAACAAATCATTGAAGCTAAAAATCTGATTTTTGGGGGGCTTTTAGTTGACTGGTTAAGATGGTTTTTGTTCTTGTATCCTTAATGGGTCGGCCCGTCCTCCATGTTTGTTTCAGCCCGGCTCGGACAGCGGCACCACAGCCGTCGTGGCTCTGATCCGAGGGAAGCAGCTGATCGTGGCCAACGCCGGCGACTCGCGCTGCGTCGTGTCTGAACGAGGTAAATCCACTCTGCTTGTTGTAAAATGGCAGCAGGAGCGTGCTTGAGCGATGCCATGGTGACCCTCACCAATCTCGGGTTGGTTCCAGCTGCTTCCATGTTCTGGATTTTTCTTGATTTCTCCTCTGGTTTATTTTTGTCTGAATGCTATTAGCTGGTTTAGTTGTAAATGTGGAGGGATCGTAACATAAGAATAGATTTTAAGATTACAAATTACACACAAAGAGCCCAATCCCACTTGGAAAGCTGATTCCGGCTGTTTAACTCGGAGACGTCCGTTAATTTAAAGATGTTGTAAAGATTTAAGGTGGTATTTCAGAGATAATGGTTAACTGTAACAAACTTTTTCTGAAGAAAAGGTGGCTAAGAAATCTGATAAGTATTTTAAATGGAACTTATGAAAAATAAAAAAGTTTGTACCATATTTACTGGACTAAGAGGTGCACTTAAAATGACAGTGCGCCTTACATATTGTTCTGGAGTAAAACAGCGCCCTCTGGTGGACTAATATGAATTTATTCTGGTTGTGCTTTAAAAAGAACACCCAGAAGTTCTTGTGCAATTTGTTTTTGGTGTCTAGAAAACGAACTGTCCTAGCAACCCAAGTAGAGTGCTAACCCATTTGATCAGTTGCTTTTCTTGTTGACTTACCCAGAAATCACTTGCTGCATTCTTGTTGGTTGTGCAGGATGCTCCACTTCTGCTTTTCAAAGATGTAGAGTTGCATAACTGAGCATCATTTTGAAGCCATTTTTATGTGCAAATGGAAATGACTTTAAATGTAAACATTGAGTTGGGAACAGCAGCAGCTTATTTGGATTTAAAGTGACAAGATGTCCTAAAACAGCTCAATCTGAGAGGAGCTCAAAACAGGCAGAACTGAGCAGAATAAAATCTCATAATCTATTAATCATTTTGTGCAAAAATATAATGAAAATGTTTTGCGTAGGCCATAAACTGAACCTGTTCAAGGAATGAACAGGTGTCTCCTTTAAAGACTTCCAGCTGCTTTGTATGAAATAAAAAGAGCCGTGTGTTTCTGTCACTGCAGGCAAAGCAGTGGACATGTCCTACGACCACAAGCCGGAGGACGAGGTGGAGCTGACGCGCATCAAGAACGCTGGAGGGAAGGTGACCATGGACGGACGGGTCAACGGAGGACTGAACCTCTCCAGAGCCATCGGTGCGAAGCTGAAATTAATTCAACTCTTCTCAAACTTGTTTTTGCCTCCTGAAACGAGCGAGTTGGTCAATGCAGATTGTTGATGTTGACTTTCAGGCGACCACTTCTATAAGAGGAACAAGTCGCTGCCGCCAGAGGACCAGATGATCTCTGCCATGCCCGACGTCAAAGTTCTGACACTGAACGAAGATCACGACTTCATGGTCATCGCCTGCGACGGCATCTGGTGCGTCAAACTTTATAAATGCGTTTTATAGTGGAAACCTGCATGGAGGAGAGTCTTTAAGGGCGTTTTCTATGACTGCAGGAATGTGTTGAGCAGTCAGGAGGTGGTGGACTTCATCAGTGAGAGGATCAAACCCGACCAGGACGGACAAACCCGAGCCCTGTCCTCCATCGTGGAAGAGGTGAGAGCTTCTCACCAGCAATTATTTAATCCATTAGATTTTTTAAAATTGACTTGATTTGTCACTTAACCACTTTAAAGATTTGCATCTCTAATAAAATGATTCAAATCAGAAACTATGTTTAAATCACAAAACAATTTCTTTATTCAGACTGAGATTCTGTTCAAATTATGTGACCCGATAGGAAAAGACAGAGTTAACAAATGAAACTTCAATCAATAAATTCAATCAATTTATGCTGAAACAAAAATAGGCATATGCTTGAAATTTTGTATCTTAAATTACCAGTTTTGGGTTAGCGCAGCTGCCTGGCTTTTTATTTTTTAAAAATCAAAGAATTATTAAAAATATACTGAGCAGGTACTCGCTCCTGGGCAGACTGCGACACACTGGCGACCTGAACATTCAAAGACAAATAATAAAGTATAGAAACCAGGAAATGATCAATCATTTGGCGTTTCTTCTTGTATTTCTTGTTTTTATTACCATTATTATTTAGTGAAAACTCCGTCTCTCCATTGTGTGAATTTCCTTAATTATTCCTTCCAGTCCAAAGGTGTTGATGGGTTTCTGACCGGTTCTTCACTTAAATCCCAAACAGCTCCTGGACCACTGCTTGGCGCCGGACACGTCTGGAGACGGAACGGGATGCGACAACATGACCTGCATGATCGTGACGTTCAGGGCGCACCCGGCGCAGTCGGACGACACGAAGAAGAGGAAGCAGCCGGAGGGCGGCGAGGAGGCGGAGCCGGAGGAGAACGGGAACGACAGCAAAAAGGCGAGAAGCGACTAAAGGAGGAGAGGAACTCCCCCAGAGGGAGCCGCTGGTCTCACGCTACCACAGACGCATTCTGTACAAAATGAAATCCTTACCTCACCGACATAATTTCCTCCCCGACGCCACAGAGAGCAACATCAGCTCCCCTGAGATCGTGTGCTTTTGTTTTTTATCACTCGTGCTCTGCTCTGGGTGGATCTCCACATCGACTCGCCCTGCAGCCGTTTTATTTTATCGGTTCAGACTTTGTCTGGCCAACTCAATGAATTTCTCAAATGAAGGCCCCAGCGCAAAAGGGAAACCGGTCCACAGAAATAAGATTATTCCTCAAGGCTCCAGTCGCTTCCCTGATCGATTTTGTTCAGACTTGCCTGCGTCTGATTGGTGTTTTGCTGTCGGACCTGCCGTTCCTTGTGGCGCCGCGCCGCCTGTGTCCCTGAAGGTGGCGGGAGTTTCCTGTAGCTGCTGTCAGTGAGTGAGGCGCATCATGTTCCGACTTCGGGTCGTTGCGTGTCTGTCTGAATGTGTCGGTTCCGTGTTCCGGGTTCCTCTGTCGTAAAATCCCAACCTGTGGCTCTGGTTTCGCTCATCACAAAGAGAGGAATGGGTTATTTGCTCCTGTCCTTCATATATCTATCTTTCCATTTAAGTATCCATCATTCATTAATAATTTTGTTTTGTCTTGCTGATCTTGTAAAATGCCTTTTTCTCATTCCTGGTTTGTTTGTGTTGTTGAAAAGCCTGTAAATGTTCATGTGGGGAAAATGTTGCCGTTTTTGAAGCTCATCAAATTTCCACGGCAGGAAAACCGGATCGTCTTCAGCACCTTCCTTTGTTCCCACTGTAAAACCTTTTAAGGATAATCTTTAGGACATGTATTTTACGTAAAAATATATTTTTTTCTTTTGGATGAAATCAGTCCTGTGGCAAATTTTAAAGAAGGAATTTCTTTTTCATAAGCACATTCTGATAAAACCTTGCTGCTGGACTGTAGGAAGAAAGCACAGGGTTATTTTTTTGAGACGGAAACATTTTGAAGTTCAGAGCACCGAGTCTGTAACTGTTATTATTTTTCCTTTGGGTTTTCATTTTCAGAAGTCTGATTTAAATCGATGTGACTGTAAGTTTCTAGTGTACTCTCTCGTCAGCGTAACCTTTTTTCTGTACATAGGTTTTTCAATACTTGCAATCAAAGAAAGAAATGCTTTTTCTTTGTAATTGTGAGTCAGTGTGACATTTTGGTGCATACTCTTTTGACACCAGTATGTAAGTACATACAAATACATTTTTTTAAATAATCACATTTACTCTGTGTGTATGAATGCCTTAAAAAATTCTGGTTGTTTCTTCTAGAAAATAAAATTAATATAGTTTTGAATAAAATGTACAGAGGCAAAGAGACCGTGGCTTAAAAAAGTAATTGCAGCATTTTGAGATGCAGAATTTGTTAGTTAAAACCTCGGACTTCAGATGACGAGGCCCGTTTTCTGTTGATGGAAAGAATTAAAATTTAGCTGACTTTCTATCTGCGATAAGGACAATCATGGTTATTTTCCTTTCTGGTCCTTTAGCTTCACACTCTGAAGCTTTGGAGCTGCTTGCGTCCAAACTCAAACCACAAAAATAACTCATTTTTTAGAAAATAAAAAGGTTTAATTGAGTTTTTTCTGCACAACAAATTAAGCATGAAACACAGTAAATGGGATGTATGTTTTGTAAAGTGTAAATTACTGCAGATCCAAAATTTCAAAAGGGTTTCACGTTTCCATTACTGAAAGGAAAGTAACCAGTTTGAGTTTATTTTGAGGTCGAGTTTGTCTCAAATGGTTGCAACTTGCTTTCCTAAAGAAATTGATTTTTAATGGTGTCATTACCTGGCAGCAGAGTATATTTTATACAGATCTGGAAAAAATTAAGCGACCACTTAAAGTGATCAATTTCTTTGGTTTTACTCCTCATAGTTATATGTTTGAGTAAAATTAACATTATTTTATTCTGTGAACTGACAACATGTCTCTGAAATTTCAAGCAAACATTTATTATTTATTAGCAAAAAATGAGAAACGGTCAAAATAACAGAAAATATGCAGAGCTTTTATATCTCAAATAATACAAAGAAAACAAGTTCATGTTCATTTAACACTAATGTTTTAACTTGGGAATAGTTCAGAAACCATTATCTGGAGGAATAACCAGGAGGTTTTCAATGGGGCTCAGTGCAGTGGGCTCTATATATATTTTCCAGAGCTGTATAACCAAAGATGTGCTAATTGGATGCAGAATATCAATCATTGCTGCTGACTTTTCATTATGGTTCCCAAAAAACATTTTTTGAAATAAGTACATCCTAGAATTATTCTTGCTTGAGAAAAATCAATTTTCTTAATCCCTTCTCTTCTGAAGTAAAATTAACCAAATATATTTATATATATATATATCTATATATATATACATATTTACTGCTGCTTTAGTCACCGATGAGTTGCTGTTTCCCTTTTCCGCCACCAGGGGGCATCCCTGGTTTAATTGTCTCCACTCTGCGTTCTGTTGCCTGCTGTATCCTGATTCTCCACCATATGGCGGTATAAAAATATTGAGTTCGTGAAGATGTCGCTTTGAAGCGGTCAGAGGTAGGTCTGTGGCATGAAGAGTCAGCAGGTTTCCACCCAGTTAGAGAGCAGCTGTGAAACAAACCAGTCACATCAAACCATTATGGACAAAACAAATCATGAGACCTACCCACTGGTTACATATCTATTTAATCAGATATGTAAAATCATGAGATGTTGGACACACTAACTCTGCTCCCTGAGGACTGCTGTCGTTGCAGGAACAATAGAAAGCCAAACAGGAAGCATCCACTGTCCTTGGGATCTAAAAATGGCTCCCAACACACCCCAACGCATTTCCTTCTACACACTTTTACACTTCCTTTTGTTGGTTTCCAATGCACGGATGAGCAGTTTTGTTGTTTCTGTGGCATTGTTTGTCCCGATTCATCCTAAAACACAAACGCAGGCAAAACGTGATCATTCTGATTCTGAGCCACTGCAGTGGTGAGTATTTTGGCCTAAGTTTCTGCTCCTTCCTGTGTAAGAAGGAAGGGCCATTGGAGAGAAAACAGGAGAAAATATCTGCTAAAAAAAAAAAAAAAAGGTCTCCGAGATTTTCCAGACAAAAACAAGAATATTTCTGAGTTTGACTTTTGAAACTCAAAAATTTCAAAGTTTAAGAAATTTTTTTTAGATTCATCTTAAAATTTGAGGGGTTTTTTTAATCAATTTTTTTACTTTTCATACTCAAATTTCCTTGTTTCTTCTATTAAATTTCTAAGATTAGTCTCAAAAATGTCTGCGTTTTTTCTTGATGCAGCATCCAGTCCTGTTCTGGTCTCCTTTGACTGGCCCACTGTATAGTAAACAGTTTGAAGTAGGGCTGGACGATATTTATCACAATAAAATGATTTCATATCATTCAATATTGATAATTATTGATTAGTTTTTTTGTTTCAAATATCTTATAATTTGATTAGTTGTGTTTCACCAGGCTAGCAGATTTTATATTCTTGTTTTTACGTTTGTCTTTTTGAAGCAGATTTTAACGTCTGATATGTAGATAAATGTTGCTTCCTTTTCTACGCTGCTTCCATGGACAAACTCTAACGAGGTCCGGCTTTGTGTGCGGAGGAATCTGCTCCCGTCTCCAGACTCTTAAACCTGAATGCTGGTCAGGCTGAACCGCAGGAGACCAAACTGGACCCGGAGTTGTTCATATAACTCTGTGTGTCGTCTCGCCAGCGGGTCTCATATAGAAAGCTGGACCACAATAACAGGTTGTAGTTCAGACACTGAAGGCATTCATCAAGACTTACAATCTTTTTCTGTCCTTCCTAAAAACTGCACTAACCCAGCTGCCCTCACGCAGCACGGGCGTCAGCAACGCTGCAGCCAAGGCGCAAGAAACACAGACTCATTCCTGTGGTCACACAAGGACAGTCAAAGTACTGACTGGCATGAAGAAGAAGTTTGAGTCCACTCAGCTTCGATCTGGCTCAGTCCTTACTGTCAGGTTTGCATCATACATGACTGCGTTCTGTTTTCCAGGCTTGCATCATTTGGGATTTTCAGAGTCTAGGCACCTCAGGGTGAGCTTTGTTTTTATTTCTTATTGAACCAAATGTTTACACAGGGTGACAGGTCAGGAGAACAGGCAGGCTGTACACCTTGAAGCATAATATGAAAACTTTAGTTTTACATACTCAAAGGTTTGGAAGTATAAACTTATGTTCCCACTCTGTGTCATCAGGTTGGACCGTATTGCTGATGCTTGAATCTGCAGAGGATTCAGACAGCCGCCGTCAGCCGGACGCATCAGCGTCATCCACTTCCTGTTGCTGCGTGTTGTCAGCTTTAGCATGCCAGATAAACTGATAGTGTGGAAAAACTCCCACAATGCATTTGATCTTTTCCGCTTTCCCGTCACTTGGTACCATCTTTCAACTTTTTATCCACTTCCTGTCTCCCCTTTCCTTCACCTTCTCATCCTTCCTCTGCGGCCTCTAATCTTTTCTTTCCTTTCTGATAACTTTGTCTTCCTTTCCTGTCCTCATGTTCATCCTCTCCCACCAAATTCCTCTGACATTTTAGATCACTATCCTGGTAAAAATGCACAGAAAAGAAACCTGTGTGAAAAAGTAGTTGCTCTTTTGCAAATTTCTTCTGCTCCAATCAAAGACTGTGTAAATATCAGATAACAATAACCTGAGTAAATACAAAATGCAGCCAAACAAAGTCTGTGTTTCAATGTTGAGTTAAATGTCAGCTTTATCCGTTTCTCTGGGTTTTCCAACTCTTAAGATTGATTCATTTTGTCACATTGGAAGGCTTCAAGTATGAATCTCAATCAGACTTTAACTAGGCCACCAAAAAACATTATTTTATTAAAACCTTGCCCGGCCTTTCTGCTCTTTAATGTTTACCAGACATTTGCTAAAGGAAACTTGATTCATGTTTGGATACTTTATCTTCTATGATGTGATGAAATGCATGTAAAAATGTAAATATCTTTGCTTTGTAAACATTTTAGTACTCCTTTAAGTTTTTAAGTAAACCTTCGTTCTATTCATTGGATGGTGAATTGCTGGTGTGTTTTGAATCATTTTCCCGCTAAATCACCTCAGTTTGCTTCAAGGTTTTCTGGAAGACAGCAGAGATTTCTGATTCTAGAAATTACAACAAAGATTTGGGATCCTGAAGAAGTAAAGCAGCAAAGCAGCAACACACCATAATACTGCCACCACCATTTTTGACTATTTATAATATTGTTTTTCATAATATGCTACAAGATAACACACCTTTGGAAAAAAAAAAGTTTTCTTTTTGTCTCATTAGTTCACACAACAATTGGTTAATTAGGGATAATAAATCAATAAAATATATGTCACGATACTTGCATAATCAATATCAGTAGATATGTGTAATATATCTGATATATATTCATCAAACTCCAATCCAGAACCGCACGGCATTCTGGGAGATGTAGGCAGAGGAAAAACTTCAGCTGCTCAACCTCTTATGTTGAGTTAATGTAGTTTGGTGGAATCAACCAACTCACTCACTCTTTGGTCACCAAGCAACATGTTGTTCAGTAACCATTTTGCCCCATGCCTCATCATTCCTTAAAAACAAAAAATGTGGATAAAAGTCTCGCCACCAGTTCGGCAGCATTTCAGATTTCAAACAAAATACTAAATCCTTATTGACTAATATGAAACCCAATATTGTGATAAGTTTTTCAGCTCTGTCGTCCAGCCCTATAGTAAATATTGTCTGACAAATACATACCATTCATTTCATTGCGTAGTTTTAGATTCCTTGTTGTAATCTTTAGTGGCTTTAAATCAACCACTGTAGAGTTCACCAGTGCACAAACGTTAGCAAACACCCCTGGACACACACACACTCATGCAGTGTGTGTACTGGAGCTGATGCACTTCCTGTATCGCAGGACAAACCCACACATTCCCGTAATGGTCAGAGATAAGGGATACTGGGAAACAAGAAGCTGTTTGAAGACTTTGTGTGGCTCTTACATCGCGCTACATTTTTCCAGCTTTCCCAGTAAATACTTTACCTGCATCTGAAAACTTGAGCGTGTTTAAAGTTTAAAGTCAATTTCTGTCATTTGATCCTCACAAGCAAAAGAAAAACAACAATTATAATCATGTGACTTTGCTATGTTTTTTTTTTTTTGTCATGCTTCTGCTCAGCATAGCTTTAAATGCATCTCGACATCCAGAGATGTCTGGCAAATATTTCTGTGGTTTTCTCATTCCTGTCCACTCTTATCGTTTCGGCACATGATCCTGCTGTAGCTTTTTTCTCTGTCACATTTTCCTTTAT